ATAAAGTTAGGATGGAAAGCCAAGCCCAGAATGCTGGTAAAGAGAAGGGCAGAGTCAGGAGTCACCAGCCAGATGCAGAGGGAGCAGGAGATAAACGTGCCATGCTAATAAAGGTACCACCACATGGCAGAGCATAAAATAAGGAATATGAGTGAACTTAAAATGTAAGAGCTAGTTAGTAGTAAGTCTGAGCTGTTGGCCGAGCATTTATAATTTATATTAAGCCTCAGAGTCAATTATTTAGAATGCAGGTCTCGGGTATTTGAGAACAGTCGAGCAGGAGAAAAACGTCCAACTATATCAATAGCTTAAAATTCTCCAGCACCTAACATACTAGGCTCAGGTGATTTTAGAGACATGTTCTACCAAACTTGCAAGAAACACCTCCTTGCAAGAAAATGATAGAGCATTCTCCCAAAACTATGTACAGTGTAACATTCCAAGGAATTTAAAAAAGAAAAAGAAAGCCAAGAACAGGGGAGAAAGTTGGATAAATCATTTGAATATCAAAGAAAAACATGTAATGAATGTTAACACATCACATTCAACAACAGGGTAGACAAAGTTAATTTAGGTACCACAGATGGCTGGATCATACAGGCACCAACTTCCTGTGAAGGAAAGGCATGATCAGCTGGGTAACTGTGATGAAATGATGAAGACACAGTGCAGCACTGTATACAATCAGAAGTCTTCACTTCCAAGAGCATGGGCAGTCCTGAGACCAAAGAGGAATCAAGATGGAGCCAACAGGCTGTCTACAACAACAATGTCCAAACCCAACAATGGGAAAGGGCTTACTTAAAGAAGATATGTGTGACTTCTTGGAACGCCTGAATCAGAATTCACCAGTGGCCCACCAAGAAAGAACAGGAGCCAGCACCCAGAAAGTAACAGAAGAAACTGTATCTACTTCAGACAAGAGGCTTGTCTGTAAGGAAAATTTCAAAGGTCAGTATTTCTACATGACAACGGCCATGACCACCCTGCCCAGCTGTTACTGAGAATCAAGATAACCAAGATGTGACAAAGAGAGCTCTGGTGTGGACTGACAGATACAAAATAACCAAATGTAGAGTATGTGGCAGTCAACTAGATGGATGTCAATCATCCACACACTGTTGCCCTGAAAATCCTGGGAGGAAATACACTGAAGATGGCAGCTGCTCTGTGCAACGTTAAGAGAAATGGCTGGAAAAAAACAAATTTAGATCAAGTGGGTACATTTGCCCATCAAAGAGCCTGAGAGCAGATGATGAGACACTGGGGATACTCCTGAACTAGAGACCCAAAACAGAAATGGCTAAGCAGGCTGGCTTTTGCTAAGTGTTAGTACAATCTTTCTGTTATAATTATGCTACTGGGTCTATCCTGGGGCTACTCTACAAGATAAGGACAAAAGCCTTGGAGCCCAGGGCAGTTAAACAGCTATTAAGGTGGCAGCCAACACTTTAAATGCTCCTGAATTCCACTAACACAGTTTTAATTAAATTGTTTTGTTTTCATAGGAAATGTTTCCAATGCAGTCTCTTGAACCCGGGTCCATGAAAGGTTTCTGTAAGAATGGCATAGAAAATACTTTAGCCTTTGGATATTAGGTTTCAGTTGCAGCTCCTGGACTCTGCAGTTACAGTGCAAAAGAAGTCATATGAGTGTGGCTGTGTAACAACAAAACTTTATTCAAA